CAACCTGAAACAACTAATCTGGAAATCTTCGTCACTCAGCCAGCGTCAGCAACAAAATTCGGTCGGATTTTCAATACAAACGTCAAGTCAGTCAGTTCTTCTATACGGATCAGAAACTTGGTGGGTCACAAAGAATGTTTACAGCAGCCTGTTGCGGACCTTCACCAACAACTGTGATCGCTCTAAATTGAAGATCAGATGGCTGGGCCGGAAAGAATCACCAACAAGACACTATGCGAACAAAGGAACAAAACAAAAACCGATCGCCCAACAAATATGCAGGAGAAAGTGGAGATGGATCGGACACTCGCTGAGGGGGCCGGTTAGTGACATTGTGCGCGCGTCAGGCCATTGCTCGAGTGGAACCCGAAAGAGAAGCGGTGAGTGGGAAGTCCAAGGGTGGGTGACATAGAGGAGATCGTGTGAAGAGGAGTTGAAACAGTATGGATGCAGGTGAAAAGTACAGCAAAAGACAGAAGCAAGTGGAGACGTGTAGTTGAAGCCCTATGTTCCACTAGGAACCCAAGGGAACGATGATAATAATAATAATAGTTAAATTTTGTGTTACTAATATTACAGTTTGTACAGACTGATATAAGTATAATGGAGTCGAGAATATAAAGTGTATTTTTGTTGTTGACTCACTTAAAATTCTGAATGCGTTTTAGCACAATGTCTCAAAATGTAATAGAGTTTATGTTAGAGCACTCGTTACAGACCAACTTAAGACAGTGCTGTTAGACTTAAATCCCATTAATCCTTAAAGCCTAATTTAACTAAGGATGAATAAGATATTCCTTCATGGTAATCCAAACCTTTTTCAAAAGCACACTAAATTAATTTCAAGAAATTTAAATAAAGCCTCTCAGCATGTTAGTTTCCAGTGGTATAGGAACATTTACAAGACATTTTATCTCCAAGATTTCGAAATCTATTTGGCATTAAATTCGGTTGATTAAATAAATACTGCAGCGAATAATCCCAAAAGTTTCCAAACGTTTTTTCTCATATCCCTTTTATTTTATTTTGATTTTGATTATAGCCTGAAACTACACTGTAGTTTTTGTACAAGTATGGAATTTTCAGCATATGATATCGCCAGCCCAAATTTTGCAGGCCGACCGTTGATATACGGTGTGCGTCAGCGTGGGAATGGAAGCCCGCACCATGTGCATGGTCGGTGCGAGTTCTAACCACTGTGCCATCGACGCAGTCATTAGTTTTTCACTGTATTATCCAATACAACTCTACAACCATATTTAACAGTGAAATTTTTCAGATCTGAAACAACTATGATTTAATCTGCATATCTTTTATCCAAGATTAGTGTTATTGATTTTACAAAAATAACTTCGTTCTGTTGAAGATCTACTTGGAGATGTACTGTCAGTTTATCTAGACAAGATATATAGTCTACTATTTAGTAACAAAAACTGGTAATTCAAAGAGCAGCCAATGAAAGGAAATGTATGAGTAAGACATGGGTTATGTAATAGTATACAATTAAACATTAATTTTTTATATCAGTAAAAGAACCAGTGAAAATCACGGAGTGCCGGACAACTGTTTCGTCTTAGTCTGGTACTGATATCAATCCGTGATCAAAATTAAAACAAACCAAATCTTCATATATTTATTCCAATTAATGAATTTGAATAAAGCAAGAACAAAAGCTTTTGTGGAATAAAAAGGTGTCATCATTTATTTCGTTGGCCTCTCATTAGCTGCTTACAGCCCAAAGACATTATTTAGTATATCTACAGAAACAATTTTAACATACCTGCACAGAGTTCATCTTTAAACAAAAAATCAATCAATCAACATATGCGTACAATTTTAATAATAATAAGTACTTTATCCCAAACATTAATAATCATACACAATGGAAACTTTCGGCGTTATGTAATCAGACGACGGAGAGTATGAAAACATTCAGTTATCAGGGCAAGGGAAGACTGATAACCGCTCCTTCCTGAACACATAAATTGGGTTTCAGGCTCTTGATAGAGATTGCTTTGATAAACTTAAGGAGAGTTGAACTCTTTAGCCTATTGATAATTTTGAACGATCTTGCAACATCCACCTCATGACCCGTGTCAAGGAGATGTCTGGCAATGGCACTGTTGAAAGCATTTGTTCCTTTTAGACATAGGCTTTTCGGTACATGCTCAGAAAATCAGAAGTATGCTCTTATTTCTGTTCATCTAATGTAGGTGCTCCTGCGGATACATGTAAATTTGTATGCGCAGCTGGAGTTAACATAAGAAGATTGATTGCACCAAAGAGCAAGTTGTTCAATAGACGGGAACCAGCTAATCCGCAGGATAGGCTTTGGATAGTGGCGTCCTCGATCTCATGTTGACAGTTTCTGTAATATTTTCACCTTTAAAATCAAGTTGAATGAAGACTCTTTTTTCCTACAGTGACTTGTTTGACATTTGAATCTTCACTTTTTCCGTACTTGCTAATGAACCTTTGAGGGTAACTGTTGTTTTTTAGAGAAACATGAATTCTTCCTCTAATTTCTCTGCAGAGCATATTATCCAAGCTTTATAGTATAGAGTCTTGACTACTGCTCGTTTAAAGCTAATTAGGCGAAAACTATTAAAGTGTAGGTATTGCCCTTTCCATGTAGGCTTTCGGTAAATTAACCTCTAGAGACTACCATCTTCTAGACGTTGCATGGCAATGTCAAGGAAATGGAACTTTCCATCATTTTTATGTTCCATAGTAAATTCAGTATTTGTGTGTGCGTTGTTGAGTAATCTGAGTAGGTGGGAAGCATGACTTTCATCGTTGCACACTACAAATGTGTCATCGACAATAAAAGGCTGTTTCATCGATTGCATGCTTCAACTTTGTCCTTTCAAGGTTGGACATGATTATATCTGCTAAACAGGGCTAAGTGGACTATCGATAGATACACCATATATTTGGCACTAAAAAGTGTTGTCAAACTGGAATTGCACATCCATGGCACACATTAGCAGTAGGCGTTTGAATGCCGACTCTCGGACTGGGAGAAGATCAGGATCCTGACAGATAATCTCGATAGTTTTATTGATCAGGATCCTTGTGAACAGGGAGGTTCTATCAAATGACGCCATGAACTTATTTGAAACGCTCATGTGGTCCACACTTTCGGCAAAATAAAATGAATCTTTTATGGCGTACACGGTTATAGGTTGACGAATAGGTTCCAACTTCTCCACAAGCCAACGAGCAACCTTATGCTGAGGCGAGTCAACCATCGAAAGTATAAATCTCAGGCAACTTGTTTTTTTGAATATCTTTGGAAGGCCAAATATGTGCGGCAAACGAGCCCCTCGGGATTGTAAATCACTGTAAGTATTGCTGTCAATCAATTTCTTCCCTAGATCTCTCAATATATATGTGATGGTTTTTTCAGCTGTATCTATCTTTTCTCTCTGGCAATTATCAACGCGTCATTTGATACAGTTTTCATCTTTGCAATGTAGTTATCTTTGTGCATCAGTACCACTCCTGAGCTCTTGTCAGGTCGCAGTATAACGATTTTGTCATTAATTTTGACAGCTTTCAATGCTCTTTGATGCTCTTCAGGAAGGATTTTGGAATATGACGTATATATGTATTTACATGTATCTGCGGGAGCACCTACATTAGATGAACAGAAATAAGAGCGTGCCTCCGATTTTCTGAACATATACCAAAATGTCTATGTCTAAAAGGAACAAATGCTTTCAACAGTGCCATTGCCAGACATCTCCTTGACACGGGTCATGAGGTGGATGTTGCAAGATCGTTCAAAATTATCAATAGGCAAAAGAGTTCAACTCTCCTTAAGTTTATCGAAGCAATCTCTATCAAGAGCCTGAAACCCGATTTATGTGTTCAGGAAGGAGCGGTTATCAGTCTTCCCTTGCCCTGATAACTGAATGTTTTCATACTCTCCGTCGTCTGATTACATAACGCCGAAAGTTTCCATTGTGTATGATTATTAATGTTTGGGATAAAGTACTTATTATTATTAAAATTGTACGCATATGTTGATTGATTGATTTTTTGTTTAAAGATGAACTCTGTGCAGGTATGTTAAAATTGTTTCTGTAGATATACTAAATAATGTCTTTGGCTGTAAGCAGCTAATGAGAGGCCAACGAAATAAATGATGACACCTTTTTATTCCACAAAAACTGTTTTTTGTGCCTCATTCAAAATGAAATTTCTGCTAAAAAACTTTTGGAAATTACAGATTAATTTATTTTTCCGACTTATTGCTCAGTAACACATTGTTACTCAAATAATATCGTTTTTTATGTCTGATATATATAACGAGAAAATTAATAAGGAACTAGTATATTTTTTTCTTGCAATATACAACGTGTAATCCACAGGAAATCTATGATCTGATAAAGAATTTCGCCAGACAATCTGTCAGTCTTCTCTTTCGTAGATTCCTTAAAACAAGGAGTAAGTTGATGCAGACTTCCTTAATGCATTTGGAAATTTACGTTAGTGGTAAGAGAAACACGAATAAAATTTAAATGAACCAGTCAGCAACGTACCAATCGGCTTGGTATTAAATTGAATTAAAACTTCATGCATCCCTCTGTGTTCTACTACCAACTAGCACTATTTCTGACACCCTTTATTCGTATAATGAAGTTTAAAAGTTAGTCATTATAATAAAGGTTTTTGTGCATTTCCCAATGAATGAAAAACAAGACGATATTATTTTTACTGACGTTTCGCTATTTAATGCTAATAGCTTTCTCAAATTATTATTAAACCAGAATTGACAAAATCTCAGCTCATATATAACAACTTATTCAGGAAAAGAACAACCTTAATTATAATGAATATTATATACCGATGCCCAAATTTTTGAAAACTGTTATAAGTGAACTTAATTTGGACACATATAGTTTAAAAGTTACTCTTTAAACAACTATTTTATAAGCGGATGCAATTAATAGGTAAAACATTAGTAATACTCAATCTGCATAATGGTCACTTACAGGAGTAGTTGCTTTTCTTCTGCGAGATCCACTGACAGCAGAATTACTTGAATTCGACGTTAAGGTTTCCGATGAAACAGACCCATCTTGGAATACTTGTGAGTCTGTATTTACATCTTGTTCAGGGTTTTCCAAGTTAACAGAAGTTGGAGCTGTCGCCGTTGTTTTGGTTGTAGAGACATTTGAAACTGTACACGTTGTGGATGCTGAAGATCCGGCACTCACTACCGTCTGCTGCGCTTGATGTTTGTTGACATTTTGAAAAGCTGTAATAGCGTTAGCCAAGTTTATTGCGAGATTGTTTTGTGTGGTAGCAGTATTCGAATTCATCAGAGTAAAAGGTAATGTATTACCAGAAACAGTAGAAGGTGAAACGCAGTTAAGACTGAGAACATCAGATGTTGGCGTATGAAATCTTTCAACAAGTTTTGTACCTGGATTCTGTAAAAAAGGAAAAGATACGACTAATTTTTCAAAGTTATATATTTAAACATTCAAATTTCTCAACAGTAAAAATCTCTGCCTCTAACATTCGAAACAAAGAGAAATCTGTAATGTTGAGCACATTGAGCTAGTATAAAAAAGAGATTTAAACTGCATTGTATCATCCAAATGTTATCATTTTCCAATTGCACACAAGTATTTTCTTCGTTACCTAACTATTAATATATTCTGTTATATATTGATAAATATTTGGTTTTTAGTAAGCAGGGAAACTGTGGTGATCGGTGCTGTCTAGATGGCTTTGTCTTCGCAGTAAAATATTTCTAAAACCTACGATTATGTCTAGCATGTAAGGTTTTAGTCGCTTGATGGAGTGAGAAGTTATGATTTCTAGACGCATGCAGACTGTTAAATCTAGTATTGTTATGCACAACTGAGCCCTTACATAAGAAACATCAGAAGGAAGAACCCCTAGAAAAAGTCGTATTTTATACTTAAGAGAGTCATTTGAAAACAATGTACCAACCAATAATGTCAGCGAAAAGTTTGTCCGCTGTGGGATTGATCAAGCCATTATAAATGCATTTTCAATGGAGATTCACCTAAAATAGTAGATATTCTTATGGAAGAACGATTACCACCAAAATATTTTATAAAATGAACTGCGAGATGCGAGTTAATAAATTAAGTCATAAGTGTTATCAAAATCAACTGTAAACCTCTATTGTTCACTAATGACTGTCATTCATGTGCATCTAATATACAAGCAAGTACCAAGGTATCTCTTCAATTTTGCTTTGATATTTCTAATGTTTTCTTCGAACACATGACTCAGGGGTAAAAAACTCATTTTCCAACAGGTAGTAATCATTTTTAGATCGTATCGCTGAATTAAGCATGAACAACAGGATATTATGATATTCCGTACCAAGTGGAATCATTGCATGTAATGCAAAAACAAGTTTTCAATTTAAATGGGACAAATATGCATATTCAATCACTTCCAGTGCTTTATTTATTTTGCCTACATTGGGATTCATCCAAGCAATCAGCTGTAAATTCTTATTCAAAATCCGATTCTGCTATGGAAACAACCGGTTAAATAAAGGAAATCTAAAAATAAGTGTGGAGCTTATGTAAAGTATAATACTATGTTTTCTAGTTTGACGCATCTCCCAGAGGTGAAGCATATTTTGCTTCAAACATAGTTCATCTCCCACAACAAAATGAAGTACACCAAAGTTTTCAGAAAAAAGGATGAATCTATGGAAGACCAAGCTACTTTAGCTTGTGTAGGAATTTAATGTTGATAAAACTATTCATTGTGTTGGCAAGTTAGGAGTAATGGTGTACTGAAGAGATCAAATAAATAAGCTCATTGCTTTCGGTACTACACCTTAAAAAAGTGACTCATCACTGTTAGTCGTATCCGCCGATTAATCACACCAGGAAAACTGGCAGCTAAACATGATCAAAATAGCTGCCCACTTTGTAACAAATCATATCTACATTTCAAGTAGAAGCAAGGTTAATAAATGAAGATTATGCTGTAAGCAACCGTATAGTACTTAAAAAGGGAAAAGCGAACTATTAAAAAGATGGTACGTGTGAATGAGTATGGACATCTCCGATCAACTGTGAGACGTATCATCTGGTGATCGCATGGGCATCAGTCAGAAGGACTTCATGAATCGATACCGCTTCTTGCTTTTATCATACTTGGTCTTATTCAACCTGATCACGCATCATCTGGTCACCCTAGCTACTGGATGTTTTAGAGGTACCCCAATTGACTCACACACTATACATAACATCTTGCTTTTACATTACTTTTAAAGTAGTTCCACCAGAAGTAGGAAGTAAAAAGGTAACAATTACGAAATACATGGAACTATCGCATACATTCTGCTAAGTTTTCCTACATACAGAGGTACCTTAAAGCTTTTATTATAGCGTTTCATTACAATATGACTTGCTTTAAATGAATGAGAGCAGCACAGGTTTTATAAAGCAGAAGGCATTTGATTAAAAAAGTGTGCTCAATAAATTACTTTTATGCTTAGCTTCAGAAACCATAAGAAATTAAAATAAAATATATAGACACCTCCAAACACCAATGTACCCAATAAGCAAAAAATTATGATGGAATCTATTTCAATGATTTCCAATTTGATTTGGCCATATAGTATTACGTCACTAGTCCCCTGGTAACGTTTCGACAACCATTAATTACTCAAAGTCATACTGAAGAGCAGAAGAAGTAACACTATTAAAACTGATAGCTAACAGTGTAAGCATACGCAAACAGGAACTTAAACTCCAGTTTATGCATCTTTAGACGACTATGAATATTCATTAAATCCTAGTGATAAGTTTTGCAAAACTACTAAATTTTAGATGCTTAGTAAAGAACTACAGTACAAAATCGGGATATTTTTCAAACAAAGACGGAATAACCCTCTTACTTATGACTGGAGATTTACTAAATAACATATTCATCCTGCTGAGCTCGAGATGACTATTAAGAAATACTTCGGAAAGTCATAATTATACCGCCATTGATATGGGGACCAACATTCAGTTTACTCACTGATTCTATTTTTTTAGTTCAAAAAAACTATTATGTACCAGTCAACATGTGCGTCGGTGGTATGGCGGTTAGGACGCTCGCCGACCATGTACATGGTCCGGGGATCGATCCCCGGCAGACGGACTCCTTTACCTCGCCAAGCCAGAAATAAAGCTGGTGAGAAGGAAAGGTTGGGCATGAGGCTAGCAACCCCATCCTATAAAATAAGTACTGCTACAGAAACTTGAAGCCCTATGTTCCACTGGGGAACGTGAAGGAAAAATAATATAAATAATAAACTAGTCAACATACCTATGTAAATACATATTTTCTCTCTCTCTCTATCTGTAACCCTAACCTTACACGTCGTGAGATTTGTTATCAAGCAAATCAATTTAATTAAAATATAAAAGTGTTGACGGGTATGGTGGATTTATCGAAAATGGACAGATTCCTTTAACAACTAATTGAAACCAAACAGATGCTTACGCACTTAAAAGTTTCTAGTGTCAAATCATCTCAGGCTACTTCGAGTTTAATAGCCTTTTCAGTGAATGGAATTACTGAAAACATAACTGAATTCCACTATGACACTGATGCCAATGTTGCATTTTTTACTTGGTTCGGGTGATTCAAAGATAATTTCAAAATAGATTTTTGCAGTCAAGATGATTCCCGGAAAGTGCTTCTACTTCTTTCTACCTCAAAAATTCGGTCCATGTGATTTCGACTAATACTGTAACACGATTCTGGCTGAAAACCCATACAATCGCACCTTTGATGCCATTTTTCAGACACTAAGGCAATACTTTGGTGATCACTTGTTCCTCTTTAATTCTCATTATCGCTGCTTTAAGTTAATCATGAATGAAAATGGTTTTCTCAGGCACATTGGTATCGTCAATCACGAGTGTGAATGATTTAAACCAAAATCTTCGACGGAATATCAATTAAAAGTACCAATACTTATCTGCAGCATAAAGTCACCTAAACTTGCTGACACTATAATGAGGTTGTTGAACCTTTTCGAAAGAAACTCTGTGGTTACACTAAGTAATACATCAGCAGAGTATCACCGTTTGATAAACCTCTAGAATGATTGGAATTAACTCCAGTCCACATGCTAGGACGATCATGAAGTATATGTGGTTCTCCACAAATCACTCGCCTTCATATTACATTCTCGGTCAAACCACCCGTGGCCTTACTTCGGATATCCATCGTCCCAGTTACTCACACGATACCAACAGATGCTTAAAGAAGAAACTCCTTTCATCCTGCTGGTACTGTGTTGCTTGGCATTTCGTCAAATTTTATCCGTATAAATAACATTGATATCAAGACTTGAACGGAGTTGGGTACAAAGATGGATTCTGCATACTACATATACAACGATACTCCATTTATTGTTGAAAACCTCATTTGCAAGCCGTAGGTTAATCTCTCAGGTTCAGGGCAGTCTCACACACTTATGCACCTGACCAACGAAAGTTCATTAACGTCCACATGAGTAACCACCCAGTGAGGTTACATGTCGATACAGCACCTGATATCACGGTTATCTGCAAGCGGCTATTGCTGAAAATAGGACAGTTTCTAATTCACATAACTTTTCAAGCTTCAATAAGTGTATGCAGCGTCCGGTAGTTACTGGCAGATTTACTAAACAGTCGCATTCTATACTACTACTATACGAACAGTTTACCATATTGCTGACGTCAAACAAATTCTTCCGGGTCTTGATTGGTTAGATGATTTGTGAATCTTGCTTCAGTTTGACTGGATTATCAGTAACTATTACGTACTTTACGCAGTCAAATCCAGAACCCGTGTACATTTGATGGATAAACCAACGATTTCCGAATGTATACAAGCTAAGTCTTGGATGTCCCACAACTTCGAGCACACCGATTGGGAGGAGACTAACAGCCGCGCATAAGACTTTATTACATAAGTTTCTTGCAGCTAAGTTGCCGATGGCTCTAAAATTCTTTGGCAGTAGAACACCTGTGTGTTGCAGACTACACAGTGGTACAGGAAACGGACAGAAGTGATTATTAGTAGGCGTGGTGACGCAATGCATGATGCCGCACTTGTTGCCGAGACATGGACATGACATGAAAACCAACTACGACAGTGCTAATATCCCGACAGAGAAACGGACCATGTGCTTGCAGACTAGCCCCGGAAGTTTCTTTACAAAAAGGGGATACATGAATATCTATTTAACGTACCAGTTGATTTTATTTTTCAAATAATGCCTGTCAAGTGATATGAGATCAGTATTAAGTCTGTTAATTGATTCTATGTTCTAAACCACTCTGCAAATTACTATACATTAATCAACACATCTGTGAATATTTATTTTCTCTTTCGCATGTTCTCTCACTTTGTGATCACTGTAATCTAATATTATCGTGCAATTTGTTAGCAAGCAAATAAATTTAAGTGAAACATAAAACTTTATCAAAAACCCGAAATTCTGCCGTAATTTACCTAAATTCTTATAGACAGACAGAAGAAGTTTATGACTTACCACGCTTAGATTCAAACCCGTGATTTTAAAATGAAAACACACTATTTTTTCTTATCAAGCCAAAAGTCTATAAGTTGGACATAACGGTTTTGTATACTCTGAACTCCAAGGCATTTCTAATATAATAATATAAAAATAACCCCGTCAAAACTGTGAGATAATTCCAAAGTTAATCACTATTTCATTAGCCAGGTAGGAGTGGCGCAAGCAAAAAAACCTGGATTAATGCTAAAAAATAAATTACAATTGTCTTATCCTATGATACTAGCTAGTGATTCCCCATATGATTGGATATAATTCAAACGAAAACAACTCACTTCAGTCATTCGATGATACATCCTCAGGTGTTCCTCCATTAAACATTTTTCTGTGGACATACTTGAGCAATGAGGACAGGTGTACGTTAGGAAACCAAGAGAAGAAGGGTGTCTTAAACGGAAATGTTCCTTCAATGTGGACGGGTTGAGTGTTAAGTAATCACAAACGTTGCACCGAAGAACATGAACATAGGAGCCAGTTGCATTAGTCAGACGTGTTAATACTAAAGAAACTGTCTTTGCTGCTTGCTGATTACTGTTCGTATCATTTTTTAACAAACAGAAACTGTCACACGGGTTCTGCTTAAGTATGCTATTGTTCATTGCTAGGGAAGCTATGCATTGTTTTAAAAAAGGTTCATGAAGTTGCTCCATTTTCAGGGTTTCCACCTCGACATATATTACTATGAAGGGAAGAGAAGTTTATGAGCACTCGCAGTAGGTGTTCAGCGACAACTGACAAATTGCCTCTGAAAAACTGTCATGCATTACCGTGCAGTATCTAGTTGATATAAACAAACAGATTATGAAGGTTTCAATTTATAAGAAAATGTGAAAAACGATTAGAAATCCCCATATCATACGGAGAGTTATTCGAAAATCGTCAAAGTGCTAAAACTTTTGGCGTTGAAGAGTTTTGAAACTATATATTATTTTCACTTAGTATTCACTGAGTGTGTGATTGCATTCTTCTCTCTTAATACATGAGAAATAACAAATGTCTACCTGATGTTTTAATCAGCGTGCTATGTGGTTTGTGTTTCTGTTTCTCGTCGAGTTTTGTTTGTTTTAAATCCAGGATCGAAGGAGGAATCGATGTATCGTCTGAAATTTTTTATATTACAAGGTGCAGTATTGCATTGATTCGGAAATAAAATTTTCTTGACATTAGGTGCAAGAATCTTGTACTCGTGTTGCATTTTACACGTTTTCCGCTACATTAAGGAAATGGTTATTAAAGCAGATCTTCCTTCATCTCCTAAAATTCTGTCTGTGGTGTGACCAGATGTCCATCATGTGGCGAACTATTAACACCAAAATATTTGTGGTTGTGGCTGGCCCCTAAGTTTATTCAGTCATTAATAAGTCAATTTTTCAGGGTTCCCTTCTTGCACTAAGTCTTACTGTCTGAATTATGTCAAAGACGTAATTCCCTCCTGTTCGCAGTAAAAGTCTTACGTCTTGACCACATTTCTCGAATGTCCTGGGTTTCAATTAAACTTTAGCAAACGAAAAGAGAACAGCAGTTTGGTCACCCATAATAGACAACATATTTTGTTACTGAGAATGCTGAGAAGTGGTGTATACTAAACTTTATATTTTGCCGGAACACCTGCAGTTGACATAATAGTATTCCAAATTGCTGGTATGTTTGGCAGCATACTTGAACATTGCCGGTCGGCAAACAATAATAATAAAGTCTGTGGATAATAGCATGAGGGATTATTTACCACTAAAGATCACACACATTAATGTTCTAGCAGACCAGTAGGTTATTCTGACTGAACGACTCCAAACATGTGCTCCTGTCAGCCTGGACTAGAAATAACTTTCATGGTTACCTTGTAGCTATGTGTTGCTAGATCTACACTTTGACTCTATAACTCGCTAACTTCTCAACCTGGATCATGGCAACGTGTCTCCTTGGATCTTTATCAATATAGATAGACTAACTGGAAAGGGGGGAAATTAAGGGGCTAGAGCAAGACTGAAGGTATGGGAGCGAAGATCTAACTGTTGCACCAAAGTTGAAGGTCTTCCGGTGCGCTTGATGGTAATGAGTAGTCCTCAGGTTGCCTTCCCACTCCACTGGGCTTGTCATATACTTTTCCTCTGGTCCTCGGGCTTCGTCCACTTCATATTTAGTACACGTGGGATCTCGAAGAAAAAATAAGATGGCATGGGGTTCTAACAAAAACATCAAAAATTTATTAAGTTTTCATGTGCAGACTTAGTATCATGGGAAAGCAGTACACCAGACAGAATCTATTCCGTGAGGACATAGCCTCCATTGTAAGTATTATATGCTCTTTTGGATTATACCTGAAAAAAGTACATTGTGCCATCACGCTCAACTAACTCCACGTTTGTCACAAGTTTTTGTTCCTATTTCGCATGATCTCCATGACACTATTTGGACACCACTGGAGTACCAGGCGTGTGAATTCACGCAACAATCCCCTGAGAGTACATTCAATGCATTTTAGTTTCCTTCTTGGTACTTGCTGGAAAATAGGTTCTGTTTCTTTGTTAGAGCTCTCAAAGTCATTTCAAAAGAAGATGAAGCTGAGGTAAAAATCTGGCTTTCACTCAGAGTACTTTTTATTTTCAGGTAGGCGCCTTTCCATACCGTACCCTCTACAATATAGACTTGAGCTTGCCCACTGAAATATCTGATTCCGACCGCGACACTACCGAAGGAACTCCATCTGGTCCTGCTACTTCCTAGCTTTAAGCAGCCTTGTGGCCTTGATGGCTTCTTTCTTTTTTTGAGGGGGAGGATGGATTCAACTGGCAGTTCTGTGCCTGCTAGTGGTGCAGCCAGATTGATTAAAAGGGCTGCTCTATCCGAAGGTTTTTTCAGTAACCATTAAAGAACTTTATGTGGCTTACCTATCAGATAGCTAACTTGTAGTGATTATCTTTGAATGTCTTTATCTGCATTGATCTTTTCGCGGACAGGAATCAGGATATTTAATATGGTGTCTTAAGATCTCCCTTACCCGCTGTTTTCCGCTCCAGTTGACAATGTGCCGTTGTAGTGTTTACGTCTTCCCCAACAATCTGTTTCTCTCCTCTGCTCAGTGGACTATGAAGTCTGCTTTTCCATCCTTCGACTTCGCACTTAATTATCTATCTCACCATCAGTTTGTCATCTGCGAGCGTACAGGAGTCAGTAGGGAATCTGTTATAACGGTAGGGAATTAAATGAGGACGTTGTCGCCTTGTTCTGTCTGCGCCTGACTAATATGCCTATCTGCTTGTGGTACCTTCCGATTCAGTGAAGCACGCAAATATCAAAAGACAAAGACTGGACTGTGACTGTGTGTTGTAGTACAACAACAACGACAAAGAAAGTCATGGTATTTATACATTTTACAACGATATAGGCAGCCAACAGCATTTGAAATAATTGACCGTAATAGTCAATAGCAAAGTGCGTGAGAAATGATAATATACCATCTATGCGAGATTAACAGTCAATAACAGAATGTGTGGGAATGATGATATACCATATATGCGAGATTAACAGTCAATACCAAAATGCGTGGGATCCTATCAGAATCATCCCTTATTTTACTTCACCTTTTTACTTTAGACGTATCATTCAGAGTACCATGGTGTTTCCACATAGGTTATTTCGATTATGTTGCTTAACGCCTTTGACGTCTTGAAGACGTCCTCTTTACCTTAGTCTTCCAGTTCCTGTGTGTTGAATTTGAGTCTCCAGCTTCCTGAAGCACTTTCTACTTGATCTTGAAGGCATTTTACGTCAGATAGTAAACTGGACCAACATTTAAATCGCTTTCCTACGTTGTTGGCACCATCCTCGCCCAGTTAACTGGCTTGCTATTTTTCTAGCCAGTCCCAAACCCGGGTAGAGAGGGAGGGTTGGGCGCGGGTCTAGCAACCCCACACCAATTACTCTTTCAAACCACTAGAGAAACTTCGGCACACAGGAAAGATATTAAAAATACAAAATCTTCGAATAGAAATATTCTTCTTCTCTTGTATCACAGAGGCGAAATGAAACGGCCACCCGGTGAAAGCCTTCGGGAAACCAGTTAGCCAGCCGATGTGTCTTCTCTCGATGAAAGCAAGAGTAAGAATGGGTCCACGGAATGTCCATGCAGTGCACGAGACTGGAAAGGCTGCCCAGGTGGCCAAGGAAATGCGAAGATATGGCACGGAGGTGCTGGGTATCTGGAAAAAGAGGTGGAATGGACGTGGACTGTCGAAATTGTCAACTGGAATGTCAGTAGTTTACTCCGGTATAATCCTCCAGACGGCAACCACGGACGCACTGAGGCAGTGAGTGGCTATCATGATGTCACCAGCAGCAGACAAAGCCCTAATGCAGTGTGAACCTATCTCCTTATGCGAGATCGTGACAGCAAGATTCAACTCAAAAGGAAGGAGGGAAGTTTGCAATTATCCAATGCTACGCACCAAAAACAAAATGGAACAGGAAAAGAACGAGAGTTTTTACAGACAGCCATAAACAGTCAGGGTCAATATTCCAAATGATGACATAAAAATCATTATGGGCGATATGAATACAAGCCGAAATGGAAGCAGAAAATACAGGAGTAACACAATGGGTAGAGAGGCTCTGGCGCGAAGACATGAATGAGAACGGAGAATAATCCACAGACTCCCGCGCCTACAGTGATTTAGTGATCGGAGACAATATATAGAAACACAAAGAAATACGCAAAGGAACATGGGTTTCACGTTATGGACACACCACAAACCAGATCGATTTCATCTTAATGTTGCTCAAGGAAGTGGAGACGCAGCTAGTCTGCTGGATACAAAGTCGAGGAGGGGAACAGATATAGGCTTACTCACACCATCATCTAGTTCAAGGAAACTTCAAAGTGAAGCTCAGATCCATCAAAACAACTGGAGACAGACCACCACAATGCAAGATCAACGTTCAGAAACTGGAGGACAAAACTACGAAGGATACCTTTGCTATGGATCAAATCAGATCAGATCAAAGTCGGAGACACTACGTGGTATCACTGAGGAAACCTGAATGGAAGAACACTGGAACTCTCTGGAAGCGATATTTAAGGAAACGTGTACAAGTGTTTTAGGAAGAAGGAAGAGACGAGACAAGGAATGGCTGTCAATGGACACCTACCTGGAGGCTAATCGAGGAGAGGAGAGGAGAGGAGAGAAGGGGAGGATCGTGAAAGAAAAGATGGTTCAATGCGAAGATGGACAAGAGAAGGAGAAGCTGAGTTCAGTGTACACTGTACTGAATGATGAAGTGAAGAAGAGTGTTGGGGAAGACGAACAACAATTCTACGACACACTGGCTGGCAACTGAAGCAGAACAGGTGGACAGGCCGCAGCTGAAAGATACCTCAGAACATTATATCAGATAACCAGGTCTCTATTGATATAAGTATAAAACTTGGGCACTGTGGCAGAGTATAAGTTCATTATGGATAAGATTTTATTTCGATAAATCACTCAGTGTTTTACAGTTATATTAACTGGTGACGTTTCGAGCACAAACCATTGCTCATAATCATATCAATATCATATCATATCACTTGATATGATTATGAGCAAAAGTTTGTGCTCGAAACGTCATCAGTTAATATAACTGTACAACACTGGGTGATTTATCGAAATCAAATCTTATCCATAATGAACCAGGTCTCTACTCCGGAAAATATCAATCCTGAGAGGAAACCTATGAGAGATGCTCAAAGGAACCTGATTAAGAAGGAGGAGAGATAAATAGAACA